TATGGGACTAAAAATGAACACAAACTCAAGGTTAATAAGATCTAAGCAAACAACTTATTAACTTTCAGACTTTATACCTCCAAATGATGCTTAAGGATGAAACACTTATGGGTCCAATATGCCTTGAGCCTCCAAGATGATTCTATTTTTCTTCTTCCTTCGAAAACACCAAAAATGCACTCTCAAGCTCAAAGATGCTCACACAATGGATTAGGGTTTGCAAGGGACGATTTAGGGAATGGAGGTTGATGAGGGAGAATGTATTGAGAAGTTAATGACAATTAAATAAGGCTCAAACCCTAAAAATTAGAGTTTGACCCCCAGCCACATATGCCCTGTATACGTTTGAGTACGCCTAGCATACTCAACAGATCACACGTTTCTCATTAAATGACAATGTGACCAATTTGCAACAAATTTCATACTTAAGGGTAAAAATGGAAAATTCTTGGATCAAGGTGTTACACCGAAACTCAAACCAAATTATTTATTCGGCCCTAATTCGGTTCGGGTTTCGGTCCAAACGCTCATCCTTAGTTTTGACATATAAAAATAACAAAAAAAATCTTACAATTTCTGGAGGATTTCTAAGATAGATTTTAGGATTTTACAGAAGATTTTATTTTGTTATTTTCCCAGGTAAGTTACAATACTATTTTTTTTTGTTTTGTAAATGGTTTTAACACAAAAGAAATTCTAAAAGAATGATTTTTAAAATTTTTTGCTGGTAAACTTTGATTTTTATAGATAATACCTGGATTTTTATAGAGGGAATTTGTGTGTGTGTGTGTGTATCTATATATATATATATATATATATATATATATATATATATATATATATATATATATATATGTAACACCCTGTTCTTTAAGTGTTTAATTATAAGTCCCTGAGATTTAAGAGGAAGGGTAATTCTGGTCCTTTTGCGAGAAATGAGTTTCATCCGAGAAGGTTTCAGGCTGGTATATGTGTTAGAAGCTTTGGGCTTCCGTCACCCCCGTATGAATGTAAAGTTATTTGGGAGCTGGTTTAGATTAGAGGAGTTGCAGTGTTTTGAAGTTGATCATTGTTGTAGCTCTTTGTGGAATAAGAGGGAAATGGTCCCATGCATGCATGCATGTTTTTAATTTTGAAGTCTGGCTGGGTACGCCCAACGTAAGCTGGACGTACGCCCAGTGTAAAGAGGCGAATAGTTGCGGGTGGCCGGGTGAGTACACCCAGCGTACCAGGGAGGTACACCCAGTGTACTCTTAGAAACCCCAAACCCTATTTTAGGGTCAGCCACTATATAAGGAACATGTTGGTTCACCCCTTAGCCTCCTTATGCTCATCTTCAACCTCAGTGAAACCCTAGATCTCGTGTTCTCCCCATTATTAGGTGTGTTTGACCTTGGAAAACTCTTTTTAGCAAAAGAAAGGCTTGAAGGAGAAAAGAGAAGTTGTCAAAGAAGAAGAAGAACGTGTGGGGCTTGTAGATCTGAAGAGATACCACCCTTTGGAGCTTGTTTGAGGCATAAAGCTTTTTGCTTGACCTTCATATTGCATAGATCTATGTATTTTGAAGCTTCGTCACCATTTTTGTCCCAAAAGTCCTCACCTTGTTGCATATTTCAATTTGGTCAAGATTATCTGTCCTTTCAGACCTTTGGAGAGGTCTTGAGTGATAAAAATGAGGTCCCAAGGGCTATAGTTGTTCCATGTATGAGATATATAGGTCTTAATGGATTAAGACCTTGGATTAAGAGCTTAAGGACGTCCCAAGTGATAAAGTCTGAGACTTTATGAATTCTAATCATATTTGGCCTAGGGATCTGAAGTTTGGGCTTAAGAGCTTAAGCCATTAAGAGGTTAGAAAGACTTAATGAATCTCGCAGTTATGCCCCGCGTAACCTTCGAGTACGCCCCGCGTAGCGGGCCAGTGCCCCGTTTTCTTTTGGTGATCATTGCAGTACGCCCAGCGTACCAAGGAGGGTACGCCCAACGTACTCCTCCTGTGGACTTTAATGTTTTGGGCCTTTTGAGTTTGGGCAATTTGTGGGTTGTTGGTGTTTGGGCCAAGTCTGGAAATTATGAATAGAGTATTTTGGGCCCAATTAATGTTATGGACATTGGATCTAGGCCCATTTGGTGAGGTGGGCCCAATTTGGTAAATTAGGCCAATGTTGGACTTTGTGTGAGATTTGGACTTTGGTCTTGGCCCGATAAGTGGAAGTATGTTTGACCTAATGCTTATGCTTGTTATGTTGGTTAGTTCGGGATTTGCGGTGAGTTGGTGGTTCGAGAGTTTGCTTCTTCACTTCAGAGTATCGTCATTCGCGAGGTGAGTTATCCTCATTATATCGACAGGGTCTAAGGCACCAAGGCCGACCCTTTATTGGATTGAGATTCGGATATGGTTGTTATGTTATTGCTTTGATATGTCTGCATCCTGGTAGCTAGGATGGTATATGCTAGAGACCTGGTTAAGGTTGATTTCCCGTTATGTTGAGTGATGCTATGCTAGTGACCGGTTAGGTCGGTATCCTGGTTAGGGTAATGATATGTTATGTGATCTGCTTGATCGGTTTGTGGACTAGGAACTGTTATATGATTGTATGTTTTGTGCACATGGTTGTTTGGACTGGAGTTGGGTTGAGGTGGGTCCTGCTTTGTGATGTAGGCCAAGATACCCAGGGCAGACCGGTTGTTCCGAAGGCCCAGCGAGCGGTCCGGATAGGCTGTAGGCCCCACGAGGGCAGACCAGACGTGCTGAGGCTCGGAGAGTGGACCAGGCCGACTGAAGGCCCGATGCGGGCGGACCAGTCATACTATAGACTCAGAGAGTGGACCAGGTGGGTTGAAGGCCCGGTGCGAGTGGACCAACCACACTGCAGACTCGAAGGACATGACTAGACACGGAGGGTGGACTGAAGGCCGATAAGGCAGACCAGTCACACAGTAGACCCGATATGCATGGCTGTTCTATGTTCTGTTATGTTATGTATGCTATTTATGTCATGGGCCGGAAGGCAATATGTTATGGCCCGGAAGGCAATATGTTTTGGACCGGAAGGTCGTAGCCTGGAAGGGCGTATATGTGGTTGGTATTTTGGGGGCATCTCACTAAGCTTTCGGGCTTACAGTTGTGGTTTAAATGTTTTTCAGGTACTTCAGGAAACCGTGGCAAGGCGAAGGCGTGATCGTACCGCTCCTCGTGTTTATGTTTATAACATGGTTCTGGGAATACTTTGATAATAAATGTATTGAAAACCTTTTTGTAATAACATTATTAAAATGAGTTGTTTTTGAAAAGTTTAAATTGTGTTGAAATTTTTGATCGTTACAATATATATATATATATATATATATATATATATATATATATATATATATATATATATATACACCTATATTTAATGAGTATCCGTAAGCACAATTCTAGACCAATAGATGATTAAAAAAAATGGTCATGATTTGAAGGTCTATGGAATTACAATAGGATAATATGTACCATATAATCACTCAAATTTAATTAAAAAGGTATTTTAGATAATTAAGTTTATTTAAAAAAAAGAAATTTTCGAAATTAAAGGGATACTTCTGATTTTTTTTAAAATTAATTCAGTTTCAGTTCTAATTTAATTTGTAATGATAACCAATTATAACTTATTTTATTCTGTCAGAATGCGATTCTATTATAATGAAATTTTGTTATAATGACATTTTGTTAGAATAATAGTTTATGACATCTTTTAAGAATACATAAATAAAAAGAAAACATGAATAAACATATTATGAAACAATATACAAAATCGATTCTTGAACTAATAATATATCAAATAATTATATTCTATGATTGTGATACAAAAAGAACATTCTTGAATAATAACAACATTATGAAAGAATAACAAATGTAATTCTTAAAAAACGACAACATTCTTAAATTGTGAGTATGATCAATGTTCGATTCATTCTTCACGTCATTCCTATAAGGTCTTCAAGCTATTCCTATCACAAATGCAACAAAAACATCAAAATTCAACAAAAAACACTATTTCATTATGAAAGAATAATGTTGCTAAAATTCATTTTATACATTCTAACGGAATACATTCTACTATAAAACACTTCTGTTCTCCATATTTTCTTTCTTTTCCACATGAATGATAAACTCTTCAAAACCTAAAAACAAAACAAAAAAAACATTAAAATCTAACAAAAACAATAATCTATTCTAAAATAATATTATTGATCACATTTGTTTTATAAATTTTGATAGAACATATAAACTACATTCTGCTAGAATACAAACATTCTAAAAGAATGAATTTATATAAATAAATTTTGACAGAATATACACAATTCCATTCACACCTCATACTCAACTTTCACATCATAATAGACTAATTTCCTCTAAAAAACACAAATTGGGTTTTTTATACATTGCAAGAGAGTAAAAGTAAAAAACAAACATTAATGGTATCCTATTGAGAATTACAAGTTTAATAATGCATAGATTCTTCAAAATATTGATATATATTCTGGTAGAGTACATAGAATATGGAAGAATACATGGGCGTGTTAGCAATATTTGCTTAGAAATTTCATCCTTACCGCAGACACAGCTGATCAATGATTTCACAATCATGTTGATTGTAAAATTACTAGAAAGTATGTTTTAAATATGAAATTAGTCAATTACCGAGAATTTGGCTTGAAACATCTCTTATGCTTTCTAACTATTGCAATTGAGAGATGAGATGATAAACTTTTCTGGTCACCAGAGCCATCAGACGTCTCCATTGCAAAAAAGGACACTTGAGGTTCGATTTCCTGCAATATAGGGAGCATGCTATGTGCCCATTCTCACACTACAACTAAAAAAACATGTTATGATTAGTATAAGATCATATCAATATTCAGATACTCAAATTCAAAGAGGGAAAGTAGTAAATACCTGGTAGATTGGGGCGCACAATCGAACAACTGCATTAGGGCCACGATATTACTTCTTCAAGATGACTGGCCACCCAACGCAGTCAAACATGAGATCCAAATTTGGGACTTTTCTGTTAGCGTCTAGCAAGCGTGTGGAAAGCAAGAGGCCGACAGACATGAAGATGAGGAAGAAGAGTAGTCGAACAGAGGATTTAGAAGTTGTTGTCATGATGGCAGATAATAGGGCGACGGTGGTGCTCGAATGTAAGGATCGATTTCTGGTGGAGAAGAAGAACAGAGGTATCGATGATTTGAGGATGTCGTCGTACTCTTAGGGTTAGGGATGTTGGTTTTTTAGGGTTAAACTAATTAATGAGATATTAATTGATTTTTTTTTTACCAAAATTAGATATATTAAGTTTACCATTATACAATTTTTTAATTTATTTAATGATTTATTATTTATGAATTCTCCTTGGTGCATATATACACACAATAGTTACTATTAACATGAATCTACTTTTTTACAAATGATATTTGTTGAAATTCTCGAAATTAAGGATGACAAAAATCCCCATACCCAAAGGGGAACCCAAAACCCGCATCCGTTTTGACCGGGGAAACCCCTAGTTGACTTGGGATGGGGAATCCCTGAATAAAAAAGTGGGAATGGGGATGGGGATGGGGATGGGGATGAGGATACCCTTAGACCCCGACCCTGGACCCGATGTATATTAATATATACAATAATACAAAACATATATTTATAGTATACTTTATAATATCTAAAAGTTTATCCAAATAACCAAACTCATTAGTTATTACTTAGTTGAAATTGCACTTTTTCTTCTTATATCTAATTTACCCTATTGTATATTTTTTTCCTTATTGGTTTATCTATTTTACCTCACATATCACTTTGATATATTTTTTTTTTCTATTTGATTTTTTATGTATGTATTTAAATTTTGTAGAAAATTTGTTTATAGTTTTATGCAATCTATGAATATTTTTATGTTTTTTTTAAAATCTTTAAACTTATGTAGTTAAAATTTCAATTTAGAGTTTTTCCTTACGTTAAAGTTTTCTTATTAAAAGAGAAAAATATATCCCCGATTCCCGCTGGGGGTCCTCGGTCCCCATTGGGGGTGGGGATGAGGATTCATTTCTATTCTCCGGTGGGGATGGGGATGATGATGGGAATTGAAATGAGAATTTGGGGATGGGGATGATGATTAGGATCCCCTGTATTTCTCGCCTCCGTTGCCATCTCTACTCGAAATGATGCTATTTTAGAGAATTTTTGGAGATGACAAGATTTTTGGAGATAACATATGCAAAAGATTATAACTATCTTCGTTGCGTATTGCTTATATCTAAAAAGATGGATAATAAAATTAGTATAATTTGTATTTTTCTGTTATAAATTTCTATTAGCAAATTATAATATGATTGCTTAAGCTCTGTTAAATGCTATTTAATAAAATAATTATTTCATAAGTATGCGTTAATCATATTATAAAATAACAAAATATATCAATCAGAAGATAAAGAATCAATTAGGGAAAGAGAAGTCGGCAGCCACTTCCGAGTTGAGGATAAAAAAATGGTATAGTTAATGATCACGGGTTGAACTAGACCCACGTAATTAGTTTATTAATCTAATTATTTATTGATTTTAAATAAACCGAAATTAACGACTGACGTGTCGGCCCATGCCTGTGCGTGGCACGTGCAAAATGCTTATGTGGACCAATAAGGTGTAAGTAACAGATCGTCTGTCTCCCCCTCTCTCGTCCACGAATTGCAAGATACCCAACAAACTCTCTCTCCTCTCGCGCCCTCCTTTTGATCTCCGTACCACGTGTCATGCGTTCGTTACCCCTAACTTTTCCCCTAATTTTTATTTTTATTTTTTTAATTAAAACTCACAAAGACTCTCTCTCCCTCTCTCTCACACAACTCACCCACACTTTCTCTCTGTAGCTATCTACGAGATTTGTCTTTGTGTATACGCATCATTCGGAGATTAGGGTTTTCTGGCTGTAAGTGTTGAGTTTTGCGGCGGTATTTGGTGGAGATTGGGGATGTTTTTTTGAATTTGGCTTTTCCTGCAAGTCTTTCAGGTAGATCTTACTTGAACTGGTGATTTATCATCGTTAATTGATGTTTATTTGTTTTTTATCTTTATGAATAATGATTTTGTGTTGTTTGAAATCTTCTTTTGATTCTATGTGTTGTTGGTTGCTGAGAAGAAAACTTGTGTGAAGTTTTTCGATGTTTATGTCTGATTTGATTGGTGATTGACAGTTATTCTGTGGATTGGGACTTTGAAATTACGTTCTTAATTGTCATGCTGATTTTAGGATATATTTTAATCAACACACGGCTTAATTTCCAGGAAAAATGGTAGAAAAATGATGATTTCCCTTGGAGTTAACATATTATCTGTTTCGTTTGATTCTGATACAAAGAGTACAGCTTTTTTCTATGATCTGGAACTGTTGTAGTATGTCTTTAGTAGAGTTCGAGTCTCTGTTCCACGAACAGGCAAAAAATTTGAATGTTTATTTAGTCTTATCCATTTTTCTTTAATAATCTACAGAGCATAGGACTATAGCATTGTAGACTTTTAATTCATTTTTCTTGAAAGTATGATTGTATTCATGTAAAATATTAGACATCTTGTAATTGAGGTCTAATATTTCCTTTTCTTTTTCTATTGATTTCTTTAACTGATGTATAGGGAGGCCTTCTTTTCTATATAATCATCTTCAGCTAATTATGAAGTTGGAGATTGACTTTGCCTGCATCATCTGTGCTGGATAGAAGAAATAAAGGAATGTCAGACTTGTCTATGTATGAGGTAGGTTCTTCAGTTTCAACAATCTCTTTGTGTTGGTATAAATGTAATTGTATCAACAATCAAATATCTTGAAGTTAGTTGTCATTAGTGTGCCAGTTCTCATTGATCAACTGTAAGATGTTCTTTTTTGCTTATTGGCAATGATTGAGAGACTAAATTTTGGTTGCTTGGAAAACTTGTGTTAAGCTAGAGGAAATGTTATCTCTTACTTTATTCATATATTGGCATAGTAGAACTTACAGTATAACATTTGTAGTTAAAAAAAATCACGTTAGCTTCTCGAATATGTGATGTATACAACTAAGAAGGCTTTGATGCATTGATATGATTAGGTTTGAAAAAAAAGATTCAAATCTAATTTTTCTATATGGTGTTGCAGCTTGAAGATATTATTTGGGATGACTTTGATCAAGGTGATGACCATATAGTACCAGACCCTACTAATGCTCGAACTAGTAGAAATTCATTTGAAGGAGACATCTGTAAGAAGCCTAAGCGTGAAACAACTTCTGTTTTGAGCAAATTTGGAAACCTTAATGCTTCCAACACTATTTGTCAAGAAAAGTCTGAAAGTGCCACAAAGCTGTTAGATAAGAAAAAGAACATGATGGAGAAGGAATCATCATTCAATGCTTCATGTGATGTTGAGATAGTAAAAGCCACATCTGATGACACTCGAATGTCAGATAAGTGCTTCAAAAATTGCTATGTCACATCAGCTGCAGGTGATGATAACTCATATAGTTACCCACTAACACACATTTCCCAACCAGAGGATCTTTATAACTGTGAGGATAAGGAATCAGGTGATCTTTTATATTATGGGTGGCCTGATATTGGAAACTTTGAGGATGTTGACAATATGTTAAGGTAAACAACTAAACCCTTGTTGGAAATAAATCAAAAAACTTACATTACATATTCTATATCTTTCATATGCAGAAATTGCGATTCATCATTTGGACTAAACAATGATGAAGAACTTGGGTGGTTTGCATCAGACCAAATTGGGGGTGATACTGAAGAAGCATTAAAGATGGATTTCAAATTTCCAAGTGCTTTAAACGATGAATCTAACAAGAGTCATGTAATGGAGAGTTGTGGTGATATTTCATTTGAAGGGAATGCTACTGGAGTTGATGAACAAAAACAAGGATTTCAACCATTATTTGTTGGAAGCCCGATACAGATGAATACAATGTTTCAGTCTTCAAACAGTGTTTTGAGTTGTGCTGAAAAACAAGCTCATTTATCTAAAAAGGAACTTGGAAGTGAAAATGGTGTAGGAGTTCATCAGAAAGGGATTTCATTAGAGATGGGTTCATTAAATGTGCCTGAAATCTCTTCCATTAGTTCTGAGCTTGATGAAATCTCACTTGAAGCAACTAGTTTTCGCCAGCTACAACAGGTTATGGAACAGGTATATCATTATTTTGCTTTTTCTTCCTGAAATTTTTTACTTTTTCATCTATATAAAATCAATCACTCGCATTGTAGTGTTGTTGATTTTGTAAAGTTATTGGTTTTCAGTTGGATGTGAGGACAAAGTTATGCATAAGGGATAGTCTATACCGTTTGGCCAGAAGTGCTGAGCTACGACATAATAATCCAAGCCTAAGTAGCAGTGCTACAGATATTAATGATAGTAATAAGTACGATTTTTTTTTTCTCTCTTTATGTTTTAATTTTATTATTCTCTAAATAAAATTTAAAAATGGGGTTATCTACTTTATTTATGGCAGTGGATTGATGGATGTGGAAACCGATACAAATCCTATAGATCGGTCTGTAGCGCATTTATTGTTTCACAGGCCTTCAGAGTCACCTAGTCTGGTAAGTTTTTCTGGTTGACATTATTTATGTTTGTAATAAAAAAGATTTCTAAAACTTTTTTGTTGAACAGAAGCATGGGTCGATGAAGGGGGAGAAAGCTGTTTGTGAGGAAGGTGAAGCAAACAACAAGTGAAATTAGGAGAGAGTTGTATGTAGTTGTTGTGGAATACATAATGATAATGTATAAAATGATCCAAAAGGTGGCCCATCGTCATGTATTAAGTTAAACGACTCGGGCTTTTACTGTTTCTTGGTGTATATTCTTGTGTCTTGATAATAATTTTATGTCTTAGATTTTTAACCCACAAGCCACAACTCTTGATGGAAAATTTATGTGGAGAAAAAAAAATATACATGGCTTTTTTGTGATGACTTGAAAAATATCATGTCATTGCTTACAAGGCTTAAGAACACATTGATGATCAGAGTACAAAATAGTACATGCAGACTCCTTATATAAAAAAGTTAAACAAGTTGTAACAAACTGAAAAAATACATGGTTTCTTTATAGAGAAATGTGTTGTTAATCAATCAAACTGCTGTCGAAGGTGCATCTCCGTTTCACTTTTCCATGTGGCATGTGATGATTGGCCTTTCATACGCTTATTCTTTTCCTTATCTTTAATCATAGACCCTTTCTTCTTAGATGTTTCATCCGTGTTTGTGTCTGCAACTGGACGATCCCCACACACAGGGCATACCATCCCCCGTGCATTAGAGAATGTCTTGGGTATCCCACACTTCACACACATCCTATGTCCAAAACAAAATGCCCATATTTTTAGTGGAAATATATAAGTATGTTTGCTAATTTGGGTTTAAAAAACAGTACCTTAAAAGGTCAGCAGCATCTTCTGCAGTTGGATTAGTGGCAGTTGCCACACGTTTTGTTGATCCTACAGTTGAAGAAACCTTGGATTGAGTATTCTTTCCAGCATCACTGCTTACTCTCTCACGGATTCCAACTAATTGAGCTTTAGCCTGCATTACAGCACCTATAAAAAAACATTAATTCAATTATCTATATGATACATGTATGATTTTGATAAAATATGATTTTAATTTTTAAAGTGACCAGGTTCTTAGGATATTATCAGAAAACAGAAACAACCTTCAGGCATATCATTTTTGTCTCTGCGGTTTTTCCGGCGACCATGCCGCAACAGCTGCACATCAGTATCTTTTTCTGCTGAGTCGCCAACTGTGTTGTTCAAAAACTGTGGAGGTCCTGAAATCTCCAATAATTACAGGAAAAATACTTATAATAAGCTTTTAGCTGACATAGATCTAGTAAAACAATACAATTATGGAAGTGCTGAATTGAACTTACTTAATAAAGATTTGTTGCTAATCTACCACCAACAATTTCAAAGTGACATAGGTTAATTACAGGAGCCATGCCAATAGTCAACATTAAGATTAAGATTTAAGATCCTCTACATCTAAAAAGGATGTCATTCCAACATAAACACATAACCACATGCATATTTTGACATCAATCAGTCTGCTTGGTGTTAATTCTATCAACATTCATCAATTTGTACGCTTGCTAATATAATTAACTTGCAAATTAAGTTGATTTATCTTCCAAAATGAAATTATGCCTATATACCATAATATGAGAGAGATACATGATTCAATAAATAAACAATTGATAGAGAGAGTGTGTGTGGGATTACTTCAGAAAACGCAACCATTGCCGAAGGAAGAGAAGAAGAGGCTGAGGGATTTGGTGGATCGAACAAGGGCTTTTTAAAATTGTTGCTGGTTGTACGGTCACCAGAAATATCCTCATTCCGGCGGTCATCTTCTTCGTCGTCGGAAGAATTGAGGTATCTTTGTTCGTCGTCTTCCTCCTCGGGGGATGAATAGCCCTGTAAAAGTGATAAGCTCATAGCTGCGTTTTTGTGTGTGTGAGAGGGAGCGAGGGTTTGAAACTCCACAGCTCGCCGTTCCGGGAGGTTGCCGTCATAAATGGGCTTCTTTATGGGCCGGGACAACGCCCAATGTACCTAAAGATAAAATTGATATGTACCTAAAAGAGATTTTTGTAGAGACGTCATTTTACGAATACATGTTCAATATATTCTCTTAATCACTTAATATAAGTATATAACATATTATTTTTAGCATAAAATTTTTAAAAATCATACTGAAATTACAATCCTCTTTGAGGCTCCCTTACAACAAAATGGAATTGGCAACCATGAAAGACTGAAAATAACTAAAAAAGAGGAGTTAATACATAAGACGATGGTCATGATTTCAAAAGATTCAAGATTATTTAGTTCACAGGAGAGCTTTTCTTTAATTGAATTACTTTTTAGTTGTGGTTTTTTTATTTTATTATATTTGTAGCGATGCAAAATAAATGCTATTAATAAACTATAGTCTATGTGTACTTTTTTGCTAAAATAACATTTTAAACAATGTTATAGGTGATAACTCTCCAGGGCAATATAACCAAACTTACTTTATTTAACAATTTTGTTCTGATTTGTCCTAGTTTTACCAATAGTTTATAGTTACATTGATAACAATATTTTTGACCCTACATCCTATCCAAGCATGCAAAAACTGTATCCATTCTCCATAATGAACCATGTAACATCAGCGACTTAATCCTTTGGTGAACTTCCCTTCTCTTTAGAGAATCGTGCTTTATGCTTATAGTACTCTTCAAGCTCATTCTCCAGTTTCTCAATGAACTCACTTGTATGCTCAAGAGACTGTTCATACTTGTATTTTTCCAAAGCCTGCAAGGGAATAAATCAAATAATCATATATCAAAGTATAATACCAAACAAATCAATCAAAATACATCGCTATTTTTTCGCATTTAGATTCATAGAACAAAGAAAAAGGTACCTTTGCTTTCGAAAGGGTGTCAGGAGGCGACATAATCTCTGGTTGCACATAATTTTTTCCACGAAAGAATATAATAACATTATTAGGTTTTATATCGATCACAATCCCTTTACTTAATCTAGTAAGCTCATCAGCATATTCTTGAATTTGTCCAGGCTTACAAGGCTTACAAATAACCTTAACAGTTTCATGATTCTTCCAATGAAGATGCATATTAAGAACAACTCCTCCAAATACACCTCGTCTCCCAACTGGAACATAATGTTTCTTCTTCTCACCTGTTCTTTTTAAATAAAACTTCTCTTCCTCTGTTAAAATTTCAGGGTCATATACTTCAGCTGCAGCTTTTCTCACATCAAATTTCCTTAATTTCTCAATCAACCATTCCTCCTTTCTTTTCGCCTTTCCAAGCCTGTATAGGATCCTGATTTCTGGATTTGGGGATCTCATTTTTTTCTTTGCTTTCAAGCGATAAAATCTCAGTTCATTGAGTTTGGCCTTTTTCGACATTTTGATGCGTTTTTGTTTTGTTTCTCTTTGGTTTAAACCATTAGAAGATCTTTCAGCCTGTTTACTTATACAAAACCTGACAACATCTTTATTCATTGTCATCTCGACTGCTGAATTGCTTGCTGATCGAACATTTGACTTTAATGGAAGAATACTATCAAGAACATATATTGATTTTTGGGTTATCTGTTTTGCCAATGGGAAGGATGTAAGAGAACGAGTAAGTAGATTGGCATTTGGATTTATATATCTTATGTCCAGACAATGGTTTTTGTTTATTGGATCCCTGCATTTAACAACAATACTATAAACAAAGTGTTTAATATCGCAAATCTTAAAATGTATAATAATGGCTAACGATTCAAGATGTCTGACTAACATTTACGATAATCACTGCAACTAGAGATACATGATTTTAACAATTGCAATCTAATATGTCGGTTTTCATATCTGAAATTCACATGATTTTATTCTCCATTCAAGGTTTAGCCACAGTGTTTCGCTCTTATAGAATTTGCAAAGGCGCCTTTTTGCTCTTAATCTTACAGTATGACTCGAAATAGTAGTAAAACCCTAGAAACGGAAATGCATGAATTAGATAGCTAAATTGACGGAATCATACCAGATATGGTGGAGAAGGGATGTGCTATGTATGAAATTGGAAATATGGCGGCGAAAGAGTTTGATTGACATAGAGTCAAGAGTAAGATTCAGAAGGTGGCGCTGAGACGGAAATCGGTGAGTTGAATATGTGGTTTTGCTTTATCAGGTCGATCATAGGCGTAGCAGGGCGTCAGCAGGAATGGAGGCGGGGAGCCGGCAAGTCGCAGAGAGTGAGAGACAGAGAGGTCCGAGGAAACATGTTTTGCATTCTTCGTTTGGTGACAATCGAGAAGGCTCCTTTTCGTTGGGTTGGGTTGGGTTCGAGCCTGGGTTTGGTTTCGGACGTACTGACGTAGATTCGTCGATAAAAACTGGTTTAGATTTGATAAAAGTGCAAATTTTGGAGCTTATTTCCTAATCCAGAATCTCCTAACCTATATGTCACCTTATTGCCAGCATCCGTTTTTAGCTATTTTTTTACTTTCACCTGGAGTCTTACATTCATTAATCCCAAGGCTATGGGGAGTGTGGTGTGCCAAACTCCTTGCCAACAACACTAAGCTCGCCAATCACCACCCCTAGTGCGCGTGAAGGGAGGCGCTAAGCAAGCTTTGTTAGCCGGATAACGAGAAGAGAGAGAAGAGAGAAATGGAATGGTGGGGTGTGATTGGTTAACACTACTTTGGTTTTTCTTCAAAAATCAAATCTATTTAAATGAGTTCATCACCACTCTCCAACTTTTATAAAGTAACATGTGATATAAAAAAATCTCAAAAACGTTTATGTGTCAGTGTGTTAATGATGCTACTATTCTTCTAACCTTACAAGCCACACACTTAATGTAACACTCCATTTGAAATTAAATAAAATGAGTTAACAAATAATAAATTCTTAAGCCCGAGATGTAATTATTATTATTATTTTATAACTAAATCAATAATATTTAGCGATGTGTTGATTTCAAGGAGTTAAATGTCATAATTTCGGATATTGTGGGTTAAAGTATAAATTGTCGGGGTGGTTTTGCAAAGAAATTAAGTAGGCAGGAGGTGTTTGGTAAAATTTGGAGTTAAATTTAAAGGGTTTGAGGAGTCATGGACCATTATTTTAAAAATGAGAGGAAGTTTTTGATGGAGACAGGTTTAAGCCCGTAACACCCTTCCCTCCCATTCGTAATAAGCATAGATTGAACCTTAACCCTAAAACACTTCCAGCTGCCATCACCGTATACCTCCATCTTTCCAGCCGCCTCCTTGTCGCCACCGAAGAAGCACCGGAACGTCCATCATCCCCGTCTCATTGCCAGCAAAGATGGAGAGTCGTAACCCGTCGTAAGTCAGCTGAGAAGATCAGAGGTTCAGGGTTGCAGATGTTGCTGTTGTTCGCCGTGGTTCCCATTTATTCCCTTCCCCCGTTTCTCCTGTTGCTATGCCTCAGCCACGACTCGTCGTTGCCACCTGTGCAATTCCTTTGCTGCTCTGGTCAACATCCACCACCCCAAGGGGAGGCTGTTGTATGTATTTCAGTCGTTTGTTGCAAGTATGTATGAGTATTCGGTGTTGTTGTATGTTGAGGAGGTGCTCGCTGGACTGGAAAAACTTGAGGAAAGCCACCATGACTGCCAATCATGGTGGTTGTCGTCGTTAGCCACCGATGTTGCCGCCTTCTTGTGTCACTGCCGCCACCGTATGCAACCAGGTGGTGACAGTGTCCATTTTGCAAACAAAAAACGTGTGTGTGTAATTCTGCTATGAGTATGTGTTATGTATGGGGTTGTTTGGCCAAAATTCGCGAGAAAAGCCACTTACACCATCGTGGGGTGGTGGCTGCCACCTTGTACCACTGTCGTGTTAGATTAGGTGTCTAACCCCATAACTATAATTGATATGTATTTGACCTGATTGTAGCATGGTCCTTTTGGGTTACCTTCACCAAAGCAACTTGACTGGAAAAATAATGGAGAAAGAGGATAAATGTGATTTATTAATATATTATGAGAATAATATATTAAAGGGAAAATAACTCTTAGGGGTAATTAACTTTTGCGTTTGTACTCATTTGGTCCCTTTTTTTTGTATTCAATATACCATTGAACTTGTTGTTTGTGATCACCATAACCCTTTTGACCGACTTTTGACCTGTGATAGCTGGTCAAAGGGTTATGGTGAACATAAACAACAAGTTCGATGGTATATTGAGTACAAAAAAAGGAAAGTGACCAAATGAGAACAAACTCAACAGTTGGTTACCCTCCTGAGTCATTTTCCTCGAAAAGTTAAATGAAATTAAAGTTGCAAAATTATCAAAGATTGCAACCTTCTTTGGCTATAACTTCGTTAATTACCCTCAAGAGTCATTTTCCCTATATTAAAAGAGAAATCATATTGTTTAATTAATATTGGTTAAGAATTAATTTAGAATTAATTTTGTGGTCAAAAGAGGTTAATTGAATTAAGGGGACTGATATTGTAATTATGAGATAATTGTAAAATGGGCTAAGGAACCCTTGGGAAAGGGGTGGACGACATCTTATGGAAGCCCATAAGGATTTCGTCCAAGGCTAGGTGCTCTTGAAGAATCCTGTGGGCTGCTTACGGTCTAAGCAAGCGGATTAGGTATTTGACTGAAACCCTAATTCATCACCTATATAAAGACCCCCTTGGCGTCTGATTTTCGGCTACATTGAACCCAAAGGATCTTTAGACCCAAAATTAGCTCCCCCCTCTCTAATATTCTCCAATTGCTTTTGGTGTTTGTGATCTATTAGAGGCATCACATTTGAAGTGCTAAGTTCTCAAATGTTCAAGGTTATCAAGCTACAATTGAAAGGTATGTTTCTAACTTGTTTTAGTCATAGTTTTCGATTTCTATATGATAGATTAGGGTGTACAAGCTTTGGATGATTATTGCATGTACAATTAGAAAAACCTACATCCAAGGCTTTAGGGTTTGCATGTGCACCATAGGATTGATGTTTTGCTCAAAACCCATCAGTTGTATCAGAGCCTATGTCGTTTTTCTATTGTATTTGATGTATAGCTAAATTGTTCAAAGATGAAAAGGTTGAAAAATATGCATCTGCCTGATGAACTTGTCGAGTCCCCTGATGAACTCGACGAGTCAGGGCTACTCGACGAGTCAAGGCTACTCGACGAGTCGACTCATCTGTTAGCAGATTTTTCGAGATTTTGACTAGAATTGGGTTGGGATAATTACTATAAACGTTTTTAACTAATAAAAATCAATTTTTTCAATATGATATTGATTATCCTCATCTAATTAGAAGATAATTGTTAAATAATAAGATATTTACTTGTTTATATGATAAAATAAATTATTTGTATTATTTAATATGAATTATCTTGCCATAAATGAATTAGGTTAAATTTAGATAATCACAAATTAGTTAATTAATTAAATTATTTGAAATTTGATCTAGAAGGTTTGAAAAGTTTCAAAACATTCCCTCAAATTTTGGAATTTAAGTTTTGATTAATAGTTTTAATTTTGAAATATTTAAATTCTAAACCCTAGAATTTTACAAGTTTAGATTTCAACCCTTATAAGTGTAATATATATATATATATATATATATATATATATATATATATATATATATATATATATATATATATATAATATATATATATATATATATATATATATAGTCTTACGTTAGTAGGTCTCGTTCACGAAGCTGGTCTATAAGGGGTGTTTAAGGAAGCGGCCTATAAAATGACCACCATTGGGTATTCACTCTTACCCACCGCACTCTTGACTAGTGGAGGGTCGTTATTCGAATGGGTAGGATATGACAACTAATTCCTCATTAATAAGTATAATGATCTATAAAATAACTAAATGTTTTTATAAATTCTCAATCTTAGTTACTTTAGGACAAATATGAAAATGATGTTATTCCATGAAATTATACTTTGCACCTTGCAAGTCATTAGTGGAGCGTATGTCGATAACTGACACACTAATTTGGGACTAACAAGGGTGGCAAAGGGTAGCTCGATGTTTATCATACATAAATGGGGCGTGTGTGGTTAACTGACACATTGATTAGGTGGTAAATGACATCGAGAGTGCCCAATACATTTGCATGGTTATTCACACCTTGTTTGTGATCCACGGTATCCCAGTTACAAACTTGAATGGCATATCGAGATTTAAACATGCCATTAAAAAATTCAATGAATCTCAAAAGAGTTTAGGAATTTCAATTCATTTAAAACTTAATTGTCTTTTTTGTTTTTCATGGTGGAAATTGGTAAATCGTCATTACCTACCTTCAAATTATTTTCAATTAGATTACGACATCCCTCTTCTAAATTTTAAATAATTGTGTTAGGTCCTAGCCCTAATTTCTCATTTGGGTGTTAAATTGAGGATTTTTTGATGAGTTTTTTTTGGTCATAAGACATCCTATGTGCTCATACAAACCCTAATGCTTGGATCTAGGTTTCTCTATTGTACATGCTTTGAATCCAAGACTATAAACCCTAATTCTAGCATTAAAATAATCATATTAACATGAGAATAAGTTTATAATGTTACCTTGATTGTTATGTAGCAATAACAATCACAAATCTCCTTGAATTGACTTTGGAATGCTTAGAGTCACAAGTGTCACTCCTCTAATGGCTTACAAACACCAAGAGCAAATGGAGAAGGTATAAAGAGAGAGGAGAGAGGTTAGAATTCGTCCTTAGGACTCCTTGGGAACAAGTACACGAATTCTAAGGCCTTAGGGTCTTTATATAGGTGTAGAGATAGGGTTTCAGTCATTATCCTTATCTAGTTGCTTATCCACAAAGCAACCATAAGATAAGCCTTGAAAACCCTTATCCTTTATCCTTTGGACGATTTCAAGGATCCTTATCTCCTTTAATTCGTTCAACCCATATATTAGGATAACCATTACCATATTTTGTAACTATCACATAATTACAATTCAGCCCCTCTAGTTTAATTAATTACACTTGATCACAAAATTAATTCCTAATTAATTATTGACCAATATTAATTAAGAAAATATGATTTCTCCTTTAATATATTATTCTTATAACATATTAATAAATCATAATAACCTCTCTCTCTTTATTTATTTCTCCAATCAAGTTGCTTTGGTGAAGGCAACCCAAAAGGACCATGCACCATCGGGTCAAGTACATACCAAAATAGTTATGGACTTAGACACTAATCCAACAGTCTCCCACTTGGATAAGTCTAATAACTATTCTGCGTATGACTTCAGATCCTGATCTGCAATCGTAGCTTTCCAAAGCCGCTGTCAACTCTGATCCTATCAGATACGCGTGTCCTTAGATAAGGGATCATATATTCCTCCATTCTAGATATCGTATGAGATATGATTTCAAATCATTCTCTTTGTACTACTTCTCGATTTCCGATTTATGACGACAGACTAATTGAACAAATCAAATTAGCCCTAGCCCGGCCGAGCATTTACGTTTGTCATCACTAAACCATCGAGGGGCCCAAAGATATCGCTTTTATCCTTCTTTGGATAAAAGGAACGGATAAACTTTGATACAATGCTTGCTTGCACTCACTAACCAAATCACACACAACAATATGTTTTATAACACCAAGTTACTAGTGCGTTTTCATATTATCAATGTGCAACCGATTAGCAAGATACAACTCA